GAACTCATATTAATAAAACAAGGAAGTGATTTAATGAATTCAAGAAAGTTTAGTCGAGGCAAAATAAATATGCAAAATAATAACACAAAACAAGACAAGTGCTACTTTAAATATAATGCAAACAACCTCACATATTCAGACATATCACAGAGCACTGATGCTAAACTTTTTCTTCGACAACAATTATTTCTAAGTTCAGAATGAATTATTATGACTTACTAAGCTGCCCGACAGGATTACTAGGTATTCTTAGACGGTTTCTATGGCAATACTACTCAGCGTTAACTACAACCCTTGGTTTGTCAAATTGTTGTTATAGCAATACTTCTCAGCATAAACTATAGGTGTTGTCTATCCTACACTAGCGTCTATCCCTTTTAGTCGATTGAAACTCACTCATTATCTTTAAGGTAACAAGTTAGAACTTCACCATCCCGGATTCATTCCATTGCTCATGTGGATCTATCTTAATTCTCTCGAATCTAAGAATCACTATCTAGACAAAAGGCTATCTCTCGATGCTCTTACAATGCCAAGACATATTTTAACAATACCCCAGGCGATCATTCGATGCTCTTACAGCGTAAGGTAAAATATTTAAACGATGAGCAAAACATAATTCATCATTTATAAACTTAAAAATTTTGTTCAGGCAAAACAAAGTTTAACATCAATTAAGACAGCCATGATGCTATCAAAGATCATCCAAGATTCAACGTTTAATACAACCCCAAATAGATAAAAATCTAAAAACAAAGGAAGAAGGACTCCCAAAATTGGGGGGCTCTGTCGTGACGATTCTGATCAGCACTACGCCTGCCTTGGTGATCACCCTCTCTCGAGGCCTAATCACCGCTCTGCTAACGTCTGGTTATGGAGGACACCTAGGAAGGTCGGTGGGTAGACGGTAAAGAAGCACTGCAATTTCTTTCACATGCCTTGGGTAAAGCTCTTCTATCTTCTTCTTTTCCTCTTCTATTTGGCAGCTACGGCTTGTTATTTATAAGAAAAAATCTCCTAGGGCTTTGCATGATTTTTTTAGTTACCTTAAATAGTCATTATCAAATTAATGTCCATACTTAAAAAGGAAAGGCGGCTGTCAGAATAATTAAGGCTTGCTTGTACGTGAAGTAGGTCATCATGTTGGCTTGTGAAATAGGCGGTTTCGTCATACCTACTTTAGACTTCTTTAGATAAACCTTGCCTCGACGAGATAAATCTGATCCTCACGTTATCATCTGTTTCATTGGCTTTTGCAAATTTACGTTGTCACGACTGAAATGTTCTTCCTCTGTAGGTTTCCTGCACAAACACAATCCAAACAACCCTTTCTCCTCAGCATCATCAGTCAAATCAAATAAATATTGCCTAAGAAAAATTTATCCACCACAAGCTAATAACCTATATGCAACTAAATGTAACTAAAATGATATGCATACTTTGTTTGACACCTAGGAAGGTCGGTGGGTAGACGGTAAAGAAGCACTGCAATTTCTTTCACATGCCTTGGGTAAAGCTCTTCTATCTTCTTCTTTTCCTCTTCTATTTGGCAGCTACGGCTTGTTATTTATAAGAAAAAATCTCCTAGGGCTTTGCATGATTTTTTTAGTTACCTTAAATAGTCATTATCAAATTAATGGTCATCATGTTGGCTGTGAAATAGGCGGTTTCGTCATACCTACTTTAGACTTCTTTAGATAAACCTTGCCTCGACGAGAAAATCTGATCCTCACGTTATCATCTGTTTCATTGGCTTTTGCAAATTTACGTTGTCACGACTGAAATGTTCTTCCTCTGTAGGTTTCCTGCACAAACACAATCCAAACAACCCTTTCTCCTCAGCATCATCAGTCAAATCAAATAAATATTGCCTAAGAAAAATTTATCCACCACAAGCTAATATAACCTATATGCAACTAAATGTAACTAAAATGATATGCATACTTTGTTTAGACCAGCAATGTACAATAGCTAGAAGAAAATCAAAAATTATCATGGCAAAGCAGTGTTAAGAAAATCATATGGTTTTAGATTTCAGCACTCAGCAAAAAAGGTTTGGCCTCAATATGTTCGACAGTCATATTAGTTAAGTTCCTTCCCTAGTCAAGATTTTTTGCTATAGTGTGTGCATGATTGTAACCAGTCTTTGCATAAAGGTAAATTGAAAACTTAAGTAAGCACTTCTGGTTTGTCAAGGCAACAAATTATTTCTCAGGCTTAGATTATACTCCTAGTTATTTATTAACTTTTTTTCATAGGGGAGTCAGCTCACCACACCCATCGTTCCACACTCTAGGTGAAAAGGAGCATACCTACCACCCCCAAGCTAGTCGGGCAGAGTCATCCTGTGACTACTTTTATTCACTCATATGCCTTGGCTACTCTTAATTTCTTATGGAGTTTTTCTTTTTATGCCTTTGCATAGAGGAATGTCTCTTCTTTTTTTCCTTTATTTTTCAAGTTTCTAAACACTAAAGAGTTTTCACTTTACCCTTAAAATATTTTTGAAGTCTCAGCGAGCAGAAAGTTCTTTTCCAGAAATTTTACATATTACCTGAAACAAAGAAAGCCTACAATCGTGTTTATGAACTTTAAAGAATCAGGCCTAAGGTTGGTTCTCTTCTTTAGACAGTCTTAACAATAATTCTGGCCTAGGCAATCAAATTATGCATTCATCATTGGGCATCCCTAATTCATTCCTAACAATAATCTTAACCTACTTATGTCATGACAATCAAAATTTTCAACCAATTATCATCAACTTCTTTCTAACAAAGTATGGCTGAATATGGTACAATACCTCCCCCAAACTTGAGGGATACATTTTCCTCAATGCATGAAATTAAAACTACATGAATCTATATGCATATGAAAAAAAGAAAACTAAAAATAAAATAGAAACTCACTGTGGTGGGGTGGCTTGGCTGGACACACTTGTTCGGCGTTATTTGGGAGGAGAGGGACTCTCAGATCTCGAGTACACTGTTACTGGCAAGGGAGAGGATTGGAGGATATGGTCTGTCGTTTTCCTATAGCGCTTCTTGCTAGACAAGACGCGTGTTGGAGTTGACTGCTCAGCAGTTGGAGTTGGTTGTACTGGAACTGGTGCTAGACTAGGATCTGCTGCTGGGACTGGTATTCCTTGACTGATAGGGGACAGAATGGAATCTTGCTCGGGTTGCTTTGATGCTGGAGTAAAATCTTTGTCGGTGAAGAAGTGGGGTGGCATATCATCACTTCTCTCGGAGGTGGAAAAGGATGAGGAGTTGATGAACTCTTCAGTGTCGCCTTGGCCTTTCTCTGGTACGGGTGGGACATGGGTTGTTAGAGGTGGTACATCAGTGGGCACTTTTGGGGGAACTTCTGGAGGGGCATGTGATGTCGAGGCATCAAATGTGCTCCCGCCCGTATTGTATTTGAGGATGACATTGGGCAAAGTTGGCAATCTGGTATTAGTGTTAGGGAGCAACTCCTTGAAGAAGGCGTTGAGTTGTATGTCTCTCGCCTTGACATATTCGAAGTAAATTTCCATATGGTCTTCCAGTCGTCTGATCTTTTCACACATTTCTCGAGTGTACGTGACCACAATAGTCATTCTAGTCGCGGCAACCGATTTTGCTCCCTGCTCCAAACCTTCCTACGGGGCGTTATCATTGAAACTCATCAACTCGGGTACATTCTTCTTGGTGATGCCCTCCTTGGATTTAATAAAATCCTCAAAGGGCTCCTCAATAACTTTCTTCTTCTTGCACAGTGCGGTTATCAAGTTTGGAAACATAAGGTTACCCCGGTTCCTCTTGGTGCATTAATGGATCTGCTCAAAGATGAGTTATCCAACGTTGATCTTCCTTCCATATATGATCGAGTGCAAGAGCATCAGTCTTTTCAATATGACAATGGTGTTGTCGAACGTTGGCATCAGCTTGCCTTTGAGAAAGTGATTCCACAACTTCACATGCGGTTTTAGTGGTCGGTGATCTACTTTTTTCCTCGTTGGGGCATTCCCTTCGAATTTAGCCCATATGAAGCATAAATATTGCAATACTCCACTTTACATTTCTTGATCCGCTTCAACCATGAATCACTTGTGTTACTCCTCCACTTCCCCCAACTTAAAGTGTTTGCTGAGTGCTGAGTGGGAAAATCGAAGGAGCTTCCCTCGGACGTACACTGTGTGGTTGGATGGGTCTTCGAGATGTGTGTAGAACTCCCTCACCATCGCTGGTGCTACGGCTTTGGGATGGCGAGCGAACTTCTCCTAGTTGTTTTTCTTTATCATATCCATCACCTCTGGTCCAAACGGTTTCTCATCCACGGTTGGGAAAACGAATCAATCTTCCAAATATACTTGACGTTTCTGAAAGATTTTGAAACGTGCTTCTGCTTCGGTAGTTTGGAATCGTTCAAAAATGTGTGTTGGGACTGGGGCTTTCCTTGTTCTTACCATCATTCTTGGTTGAAATCAGTGGTGGAAATGGGGAGGAATTTTGTTGAGAAATATTTTTCTTGTTCATTAAAGAGAGAACGAGGCACGATGAAGAAGAAGAGGTTGGGTACTTATTTCTTTGGAAAATAATGAGTGGTTTCGGGGTAGTTTTCTAAGTTCAGAATGAATTATTATGACTTACTAAGCTGTCCGACATGATTACTAGGTATTCTTAGACGGTTGCTATGTCAGAACTACTCAGCATTAACTATAACCCTTGGTTTGTCAAACTGTTATTGTAGCAATACCTCTCAACGTTTAATACAACCCCAAATAGATAAAGAGTTAAAAAAAGAAGAATGACTCCCAAAACTGGGGGCTCTATCACGACGATTCTGATCAGCACTATGCCTGCCTTGGTGATCACCCTCTCTCGAGGCTTGATCACTTCTCTGCTAACGTCTGGTTATGGAGGACACCTAGGAAGGTCGGTGGGTAGACGGTGAAGAAGCACTGCAGTTACTTGCTCACGCCTTGAGTAAAGCTCTTCTCTATTATTCCTTGCCTCTTCTCTTTAGCGGCTACGTCTGGTTATTTATAAGGAAAAATTTCCTAGGGTTTGCATGTTTTTTGGAGTTTTCTTAAATATCCGTAAATGTTCAGACTTAAAAAAGAAAGGCAGTTGTCAGAATAATTAAGGCTTGCTTGCACGTGAAGTAGGTCATCCAGCTGGATTGTGACATAGGCGGTTTCATCGCACCTGCTTTAGACTTCTTTAGATAAACCTTGCCTCGGTGAGATAAATATGCTCCTCGCGTTCTCATATGTTCCGTTGACATTTGCAAATTTATGTTGTCACGACTGAAACGTTCTTCCTCTGTAGGTTTCCTGCACAAACACAATCCGAACAACCCTTTCTCCTCAGCAGCATCAGTTAAATCAAATAAATCTTGCCTAAACAAAATTTACCCACCACAAGCTAATATAACCTATATACAACTAAAATGTATGCATACTTTGTTTAGACGAGCAATAACTTAAGTGAAAAGACTATAAATTAAGTCTTTTTACGGAGTTAACACTAAGGTAGGTGTACATTGTAATGAAGGCTTAGGAGGAACAAACTCATCGAAATCAAGAGGTTCAATGCGTGTATATGGGCTAGCTATGAGAAAGATAGTCTGATGCACCTCTAAATAAAAGTCATTGGGTTGCTCGGTACTTTCTTCTTCATTAAGCCTCTCATAATTTTCCAGCTGAATGAAATTGTTATGGCAAAATTGATCAACTTCTTCTTATATCAATGAATCCACTTCGAAAATACTCTGACATTCTTTAGATTCATCCATGTACTTGAGAGTTCGAAAAACATTAACGGTGATACATTGGTTAGCCACTCTCATGGTGAGTTTACCCTTTTCACAATCGATAAGAATATGCCATTAGCTAGGAAGAGTCTCCCCAAGATTATGGGTGTTGTGGCATCAACCTCACAATCCAGTATAAGGAAGTTTACTGAAAACACAAATTTGTCCACCTTACAATGACATCCTCGACTAACCCCTCGGTATGAATATGGGAGTTGTCGACTAATTGCAAGATAACAGAGGTGGGTCTTGCATTTCCTATTCCAAGTTTCATGAAGACTAACTTAGGCATTATGTTCACGATTGAGACAAGGTCACATAGTGCTTTTCCAAGATAATTTTCTCCTATCGAACATGGAATGATAAAGTTGCCTGGATCTTGTCTTTTTGGCGGCAGCTTGCTTAAGGCATAGCAGTATGCTTTTGCTGTAGCAACAATCTCGTATTTCTCAACTTTTCTTTTCTTGGTAACAATCTCTTTGAGGAATTTAGCATATGTCGGCATTTGTTCTATAGCTTCAAAAAACGAACATTGATATGGAGTTGGTTCAGAATGTCGGCAAACTTCTTGGATTGAATGTCATCATTATGCTTCTTCAGTTTTTGTAAGAAATGAGGTGGGGGTTTGACTTCATCTAATGAAGGGATGGGAACATCATTTGTCGTGGCATTTTTGTTTTCTCCCTCAGTTGCTTTACTAGATGAACCCTCATCCTTATCCTCTTCCACTTGTGTCTCTTCTAATACTTCATTCTCAGTCGCCACAGTGATAGGGGTAAATCTTTCATCTTTCTTCTCTCAAACTTGTCTTGCACACTGATTCGGGTGCCACTCCACAGAGTGACTACACTGTATTGCTCTTTGCCATGAGGTGTAATTACTTCAGTGCCACTCGACAGACGACCTGGTTGATGTTCTTGTAATGATGCGGTAATTTGACCAACCTGACTCTCCAACACCCTCAAAGATAAGTTATGGCTTTGAAGCAAAGCTCCTTGGTTTTTTATGAAGGTCGCATGGTCTTGCAGCATGGTCTTCGTGGTTGCTATAAAATCTTGCATTGTGGCATCCGAATAACTCTTGTTGGATGAAGATGGTACTCCCTTGTTTGAATTAAGCCATGGAATATTCGTTTGAAAACCTTAGGAGTCATTGAAATTATGTTGCCTCGCGGGTTGATTAATATTGTTGGTTCCTTGATTTCCCCATAAAAAGGTTTGGATGTTGACACCATCCAAGATTATAGATGTTAGAATAGGGGTTCTTATTGCCTCGATTATAGTTTCCTACATAGTTGATGGATTCCTGATTGGTCAGATACTAGCTCTAATGGTGATTGTCATGGCATAATAAACATGCTGAATTGGCTGCCTTTACTTCCTTCACCTCACTTGGTCTTTGCAAATTCTTCAACATATTGGTGATGGCAACAATTTGGGCGGATATAAAATCATTAGTATCTAACTCTAATACCCCATGTGATTTTCACTCAATTCCAAGCCATGTAGATGGGAATTGATAATCATTGTTGGAAATCCTATCCATAATGTTGAATGCCTCTGCAGGTGATTTACCGAGTAATGTCTCATTTGTCGAGGCATCTAGCATCATCATCCTGGGCGCATTTACTCCATTATAGAACATTACTACTTGAGTCCAATCTTGAAAACCATGATTTGAACATTTACGAAGCAATCCTTTATACTGATCTCAGTATTCATATATTGATTTATCATTAGCTTGATGAAAAGAAATAGTGTAGTTCCTCAGTTGGGTGTTCATGTTGGCGGATTATACTGCATCAAAAAACTTTTGCACATATCAGTCCAAGACTCCATCAAACCCGCTGGAACACCACTCAACCAAGCCCTTGCTCAATCACACAGAGAATATGGAAATAGCTTTAACTATAATACATCTCAGTACACTCCTTGTTGTCACAAAGAATCGCACACCTCTAAGAAGTTACGAATATGTTGCACGGCATCTTCATTTGGCATGCCCCCAAATTTCCCTATAGAATTTAGCATATTGAACATGACAAGTTTTAGCTCAAAATAGGTTGTCTAAATCTCTGGTGCCATAATTCCAAGATTTAAGTCGTTCAAGATAAGATTTAAGTGATCATGAATGGCACGAGGTCTGGTTGCATTCCCAACATTCGGAATTGCCTTGGTATTCTGATCTTCCTCATGATCAATTGCTTGATTTCTAATTGATACATGTTTGAACATTGAGCACGCCTTCTTTGCCTATACAACCTCTCAATCTCAGGTTTAATTGGTTCTAATGGCTCGTCAGAGTGTTGTCTGGTCATACACCAAGAAAAACCTGAAAAAGACAAGGAAAATAACAAGTAAAACTAAAAAAATGAAAAAGTAAAAAAAAATGCTATGACAAAACTAATTAACTTCCAGTTGGCAATCTATGGAAACGGCGCCAAAAACTTGTTCGTGAATTGTGACTACTAAATATGGTCATGAAATATGTACAAGTATACATAATCAAACAAGTAATATAGCAATGAGTGAGTATTGTATCCACATGGATTGGAGGAAACTTATAAGTTCAACCAAAGCAGTTATCTATTTTACCTAAGTATAATTAGTGATGGTATGTACAAATGATAATGTTATGGAAAAATGAAATGGATGTTGGTGGAAATGGACTGATGGTGTAATGTAATGTGGTAGCAAATGGAGATGTTGTGAAAAAATGGATAGAAATGTCTTGGCAAAAGTAAATTGAGTGTAGTGAAATCAATTCAAAATGTAAAAGAAAAACGAAATGTAACACATGATTTGATTAAAATGACTCTAGACTCCTTACACAACAAGCTATTATGGGAATGATTGATAGGAGTCACTTAAGAAGCTTAAGTTTAATTTCTCAGGTTAGTCTTACTTCTATTCCTTACTTTCCCGACAGAGTTTACTAAAAGTTCCCTATACTATCTCTAGTTAAGGGACTCGACAGGTTGAAGATACCTTGGCAATAACTCTCTGCATTAGCAGGTACAAAATCATATTGGTTCAGATCATCAGATTATGTCACGGCAATACCATTCAGCGTTATAACTAGCATCTAACCTCTCGACCAAGCACTACTCCTTTTAGTCGATCAAAATCTTAGCTTTATTTCTAAGGTTGGATTGGCCTATTTACTATCTAGAACCCCTTGCTTATATGAATCCTCCCTGGTTTCTCTCAAACACTAAAGATATGTTACTTAGTCATTATCTCGAACACTAAGCATTCTCCTAAGGAATGGCTACTCTCATAGCTCCTTCAACCTTAAGGAATTAAGCATAATAAGAAAAACAAATAATAGCATACAAAAATAACCATCCATTAAAATAGAACTTAAGAATCCATAATGAAGTCCCACCAAATAAGACAAGTTCATGGTGGGCTTCGAATATTCCAAGCAACAAGGCATGAAATTAATTTGTTCCATACAACCCAACTAAAATAATTGAAAGCAAACAACAAAGGGATGAAGGAAAAGCCTTCGACGTGCACTACCTGAGCTCCCCTCAGCCACCACAAATTTTCCTAGCTCGCTAGCTCCTCTCGGACGCCTAGCTCTCCACTCCCTCTAGCTTGTTAATTGAGGAATACCATGGTAAAAACGATTGATGAGAAAAATGATAGACCTTTTCTCTTTTAAAACTAAGCTCAAAACGGAGTGAAAAGGAGTCTCTAAGTCTGGTGGCTTCCTCTCGTATTTATAGTGGGGAATAAACCTAGGAAATTATGTTAAAATTCCTAGGATACCATGAGTTGGTTTCCTTCACATGAGGGGGTGTAGCAGAGCTGGCAGTGGTCCCCTCCTGGTCAGCTGAGGGTGGTCTATTCTAGTAGATGCTCCCTCCTAAGTGTCTGGAAGCTGAAGGCACGTGAAGACAAGGACAGCTGGCTCTTGAAAATATCTTATTTCATTTTTTTCGCTTCCAAAATGTTGTTCGAGTTGGCATTTGCATTCTGCTCAGTATTCCGAGCATGTCACAACAATTCTCCTTGCTTATCCTTACTCCCAAATCCTGCACATCATCAGACAAAACACCTTCCCCATAACGCAACACCATTCACAAAATAAAATACCACGGCAAAATATATTTCCACCAATGCAACTATATGATCCTAAATGCATCTATATGATCCTATAAAAGCTCTTAGACAATCAATAACTTAAGTGAAAATACCCTAAATATGGCCTTTCTATAGAGTTATCACCATCTATCCTTGTTTCATCCTTTTGTTACGCGTAGAATGCATGATTTCTTGGTTAAGAATGATATTCTCATCGATGGACATGTCAACGAAGAAATTGGTTAGGGCATGGTAGATGAGGAGGGGGCATAATGTTCTTGAGAGGGCACACAATAATTTTGGTGACAAGCTTATACAAGATCAAACAAAATTTGATGTGGTGAAAATTGAGAGATGGGTCAATAAGATTATATTGAAGATTGAATGAAGCATGTCACAAACATCGACACCAACAATGTCCCACTTTTTTTGGAAGAACTCTACGTGATGATCATCAGTCCTAGGAGATTTGAGTATAGCTATGTAAAATGAGTGTCTTTGATTTTGATTTCAGAGGAGGTTTCATCAAGAGAAGCCAGAGAGAGATCAGGAATCTTAGGGAAGTGGCCAAAAAGAGGATAAGTTCTAGTGGAACGGTCAGGGGAGGAATAGGGGCTTTTCAAAAAGTGAATAACCTCATTCTTAAGGGTGTCATTGTCATTGCGCCAATCACCGTTGTGAAGATTGAGGGGAGAGATATTGTTACGATGTGTGTGAGACTTGGCTTTCTGGTGAAATTATTTAGTGTTTCGATCACCAAAAGTAATCCAGTCAGAACGAGGTTTCTACTGCCATAAGATCTATTCCTTATCGAGTACATTCTCAAGTTCAGTTTGGAGCTCAATCTCAAGATTGACAAGGAAACTAGAAGACTGATATTAGAGGGCTATTTGCTCACCTATAAGATGAACCATGATGCCCTTTTTTTGGTGTTAATGTAACCAAAGGTGGAGATATTCCAGGATTTAGTGGCGGCTGTAAAGTTAGAGATGGTCTCAAACATGGAATGAGAGGACTTCCAATAGTCATTCCCCATTATGTTGAAGTCGTCATGGGAGAGCCAACCTGGGAAATAGCAAAATTGTCTCACAAATGAGGATTTGGTTTGGTGGCAAACGCACAGGAGGAGGGGCCTATAATCGGAACTAACAATGAGGAGGTGAGAAACAATAGACTCAGGGAAGAGTTTATCCCAAAGGGAGTTACAAAGAAAATGATAAAGACGGGCATAATTACTGCCACAATTCCAAGTGTAGTCAGAACCATGGTAGCCACTGATCCTAGGCTCGACAAAACCGATAATATTAGGATTATTATTCCTAAGAAATTGTTTAGCGACGATGACAAATTTCATATCACTATCGCCTTGAATATTCCAAGATAGGATTTTAATCATCATTAAAAAAAAGGAAGGGCGGGAGAGCAAAATCACTCAATCATCGAAGAAATTGTGTTATAATCATAGTTATTCTCAGGGTCAACAACAACATATGGTTCATTCTTAACGTCCATAGGAGAGAGATCCTTATAGGGTATACGAGAATTTTGGGGAAGAGTGCCTTCAGCATTTGGGGGCAATATCAGACAACTTGGTAGGGGTCGAGTATTTACCAAATTGGAGGCCGGGTGGGCCATTGGCGTCGTCATTTTCTTGAACAATATTGGCTGCTTGTTTAACAGTATTGAGGATGATGACATGACCAGCAGGGTTTAGGAGTGCAGAGAAGTCAGCATGGGTGGGTGTTTCGGGATGGTCCAGAGGTGGTTTTCGGAGTAGGGGTTTTCATGAGGATCATGAGGAGCTTACGATTTGGGATAGATCCTTGGGAATCGGGAGCACGGTGGGTTTCAAATGTAGCTTTACCTTTGTTGTTATCATGGGATTTGGGGCGAGTAACAGGACATAAAGAGGCAGAGGATTCGAGGGACCTAAGATATAGAGGGCGGTAGTAGAGGTGTGGGGTTCGTCTTTAGGAGTGTCGTATATAGGATTAAATCTATAACCAGATAGCGGAATAGATTTAGGATCAGTGTCGCTACCGAGGGAATTAAGAGTTTGTTTTTGTTGCCTACGTTCTACAAACATCAAGGGACCAAAGGAGTCTGAGCTGGTCCTGGGATAAGGTTTGGGGAAAATCCAGGGAAGAATTTTTCATGATCGTGGGACAAAGATCCTTTGTGGTTGTATTTGCCACATTCAAAACAGATAATGGGAAGGGTTCGTATTCAACAATTTGTATTCTACCATTTATCAAGAGTTTGGAAACGAATGGCTTACCAAGATCGAGATTAACGACCATACGAGTGAAGCGACCACGATAACTACTCTCCGTTTGGTAGTCTATCTTGATCACCTACCCGATGAATTCACCAATTTCAACGATTTTGTTTGTAGAAAGTAAAAAAAAAAAAAAGCCTGGGGAGACGGATCCAGGAAATAACATGGTTGGGAAAAGGTTGTGAAGCAGTGACTTCAGGCAAACAAGATTCGACGATTAAGTAATGGCCAAATATCATCCATGGGCCATCAGAGAGAACCTTCAAGTTATCCAATTTGGTGCAGAAAGGGAATAGGTAATAGTCATTTTCTATGTCCATTATTCGAAGGGGTAGAGAGGGTTTCCTTAGATCGTGAAGTTTGTTCCAAAACACAGTGTAACCAATCCGTCTACCTAAGAGTTTGATGATGATCGTTTGGGTGAGATATTTTTTTGTGAACGATTAAATCTTATCTGAGAAATTGATGTAGCCACGTGATATGATCTCGATTATATGTTTCGATTCATATATGTGAATGCCCGATCGTGATTCTAGTAAGAACTCCACAGTACTTTGAATGTAATCTGAAATTTGCAAACAACGTTGTAAAATAGAAATAGATAAATAAAATATGGAAATGGAAAGAAGAAAAATATGTTGAAATGGATTAGCAGCGTAGGAAGAGTGATGTTGTGATTAAGGAAAATAAAGGATGAAAAGGTTGATGAATATAGTAGGGAGTCGGTGCATAGTATGAAGAATCTCAAGGAAATGGATTGTTACCCTCTAACTATATAAGAGTTAGAAACCAGCAATATATTAAAGGTGGAAACGAAGTGGTAGGATATGAAACGCGACCCACTAGCTATAGATGAGCTAAGAACCAACACTATAACAAAAGGAAATGGATGAAGACTACAAGACTATCTTGAAGCCGATAAAGTTCTACAAGAGAACAAGAATGAAAGCAACCTCTCAAAGATGTTTTATATATTCAAATGTGTCTACAAATGATCCCAAATGTACCTATTTATAGTATTTCTAAGCAGTATATGAAAAGACTCAAAAGATGAAAAACATTCTCATCAATTTAGCAATAAAATGAAGGCAACTTCTTTAAATTTATCATTTCATTTTGTTATACTCGTATTTTATAAATTGTTATTTTGGTCTCTTTATTTTTAATTTCTAATTTGATCTTAAAAATATCAAGAATTTGAAGTTAAGTCACCAGCTATCGAAGGTAATTTTTCAAAGTTGAATTTAACGGCTGATGATTTTCATCCGTAGTGTATAAAAGTCTCTATTTTCTTAATTAAATTGATATAATCTCTAAGGGGATGTTTGTTTACTTCAGAATGATTAAGCGTTGAATGATTCAAATACTGAATGATTCAGAGGCTCTGAATCGTTTAGCTCTGAATGTGACATGTTATTTGATAATTGACTCTGAATGATTCAGAATGTACTTCTGTGCTGAATCATTCAACACTGTTTCGTTGAATCAGTCAGCACTGAATCATTCAGATGTGCGAAACAAATGCGCTGAATGCTGAACGGTTCAACATTCAGCGCTGAATGATTCCATTAAGAGGCAAACAAGCAACTCCTAAATCTCTATTTTTCTTTCCAATATCCATTCTTCCTTAATTGAGTTCAAATGAGCATGGCACTTAATGGTATCAGATAAATATTATAAATATCAAATTAAATATTAATTTTTTGAATACTATAAGATAGTTTTAAGGTAAAGTATATAATGGTACCCAATTATAGTGTATTATTTTATTGATTCTCTTAAATATTAAAAGTTATAAAATTATCCTATAATTACAGGATGTTATTTTTTTAGTCTCTCGACTATTAAAAGTTACAAAATAGTCATCTGACTATTCATATGTTTCAAAATTGTCATTTTCTGTTAAAAGTTAATGATCATCTGAGCTTGACGTTAACCTGCTGACTGAGATATAATAAAATCATAATTCAATGATGTCTACTAGCACCATCGTTGCTTTCAAGCATTGGCTCGACATCATAATGTTTCAAGCAGTAACTCGATGGCATAATGAAAATAGAGACTTGATTCATAAAATACAGCTTAAACGATTCTAAGATCATATTTTATAATATTGCATTCAACATATAAACATTAAACTCAGATGATCATTTAATAACTTTTTATAGTTAGAGAATTTAATAAAATAATAATCTATAATTAAAAGATCATTTTTAACTTTTAATAATTAAATAACTTAACGAACTAACGGTTTATAATTCACATTCTATAATGGAGATACTATGTATATAAAAATATAAGCCTTAAATGAATAAATAAAAGGAGATGTTGAAGTCCGGCACATGTGTCCGAAAACGATTGCAAATCTACCAAGCCCATGCGTTGATTACAGCTGTATTCACGTCCTCTCTCCCTCTCTCTCTTCTATTTTTATTTGATTTTTTTTCCATAAATTAATTTCTCTTGCATTCCGCCATTGGTTGGAAAAAGACAAATTCTTTACTTTATGCCTTTATTTCTTGACGATTATACAGGGGAAAAAATAGGCTTCTTTTAATTATTTAATTCCCATAATTTTTAGAGTAAACAAAGAAGTTCATAAATGGAATAAAAATAAAACAGAAAAAAGAGAAGAGAGCTTCCTCGTGATCTGTGAAAGAGTCTTACGTGAAAACCCAGATTGTCTTCGACCTCTTTAAAAGCCTCTTTGGTTCCATCTCCTTCCTTTTTAACTTTGAACTCTGGTCACTGATTACATTCCAAGAAAATCATTTTTTTGGAGTAAAAAGAACACCCAGAGAGAGGTTTTTATTTTTTGGGAATGATGTTTTGATAAGTTTTTCTTTCTAGGAATTTTGTTTCCTTCGGCTTTTGTAAGAAGAAAAAGCTTCATTCAAAGGTGGGTTCCTTTTTTTTTAAAATTTTAATTGAACTTCTCTTTTTTTTCCTTCTTGTTTTTCTACTTAGCTTTATGTGTATGTGTTATTTAAATGAATTTGAATTTCGTTCAGTTGGTTGGCTGCAGATTTTTAGTTGGGCATTAATGTGTTTTTGTTTGGTTTGCAAGTAACCAACAAATATTAGGTGAAATTCAATATGGATATTCCACTTTTAAGTGAGAATTCTTGGTTGGTTTTCCATTAGAGTTCAAGTTACAAGGCTTTTTCTTGGGTTGGTTGATGGAAAAAGCATGTTAAATGATAAGAAGTTTGAATCCTAAGCTGTATGGTTCTTGTTTGAAAGTTGGGGTTTTATTGAACTATATAGTCTTTCTCATGGAACCTTAATTATGTCAACTTTTGATTTAGGTAAAGGTCAATTGGCTTATAACTTAAGCCAGATTGAATAGCTAAGTATATAGTGAATATTTAGAGAAGAATCTGCTGGGTTTTTCAATTTATGTTATCGGTTTCGTGATGATAGAATGATCAATGGAAATTCAGTTACGAAATTCGATCATAGATGGCTGGCTTCTTTCATTCACTGTTTCTACGCATTTGCTTTTACTTATTGCTGTGTATAACATCAACAAGTTTGCCACAACATGTGACTCAATTTGTTTTTGTGATCTAATCTTCACTTTCCTGCTGAAATGACAGGTTTGAGTTGCCATAACTTAAAGCTTTTTGTACAATGGGGAAATATTTGTGACAATAATGGATCCTCAGGCTTTCATCAGGTTGTCTATTGGCTCTCTGGGTCTGAGGATTCCTGGATCAGCCCTGAATTCTTCAAAGGCTGGAATTCATGCATTCTCTTCCCCGTGTTCATGTGAGATACGACTCCGAGGTTTCCCTGTGCAAACTACATCAATCCCCTTAGTGTCCTCACCTGAGGCCACACTTGATATTCACAACATTGCCTCTAGCTTTTATCTAGAGGACTCTGATGTGAAGGCTTTACTGACCCCTGGCTGTTTCTATAACCCCCATGCTTGTCTGGAGATCACCGTCTTCACAGGGAGGAAGGGGTCACATTGTGGTGTTGGAGTCAAGAGACAGCAGATCGGAACATTTAAGTTGGAGGTGGGTCCAGAATGGAGTCAAGGGAAGCAAGTGATTCTTTTCAATGGATGGATTGGCATTGGCAAAAACAAGCATGAGAGTGGAAAACCAGGGGCTGAACTTCATTTGAGAGTACAACTAGATCCTGATCCGAGATACGTTTTTCAGTTTGAAGATGTAACTATGCTTAGTCCTCAGATAGTACAGCTTCAAGGTTCCATCAAACAACCGATTTTTAGTTGCGAATTTAGTAGAGACAGGTGCTGCAAAACTATTAAGTTGCTTTATATGATTCTTTGTTACTTTCTATTCATTTGTTTACGGTTAATGAAACTCTTAATGGTTTCTTTGAAATGGTAGGGTGTCAAAGGTGGACCCTCTAGGCACTTATTGGACAGGTTCTGCTGAGAGTTCCGACATAGAGACGGAGAGAAGAGAGAGGAAAGGATGGAAGGTGAAGATACACGATCTCTCTGGCTCAGCTGTTGCGGCAGCCTTCATAACCACTCCTTTTGTGCCATCAACAGGTTGTGATTGGGTTGCCAAGTCCAACCCAGGAGCTTGGTTGATTGTTCGTCCCAACGTTTGCAGGCCAGAGAGCTGGATGCCTTGGGGAAAGCTCGAGGCATGGCGCGAGCGTGGCATCAGGGACACTATCTGCTGCCGGTTTCACTTGCTGTCTGAAGCCCAAGATGGAGCAGAGGTTCTCATGTCCGAGATATACATCAGTGCTGAAAAGGGTGGGGAGTTTTTCATCGACACTGACCGACAACTGCGACAGGGACCTACACCGGTACCGAGTCCACAAAGCAGTGGAGACTTTTCTGCATTAAGTCCGATAGCCGGTGGTTTCGTGATGAGCTGCAGAGTCCAAGGGGAAGGGAAGAGTAGCAAGCCACTAGTGCAACTGGCAATGCGGCATGTAACATGTGTGGAAGATGCGGCCATATTCATGGCGCTTGCAGCAGCAGTTGACCTCAGCATCGAGGCGTGCAAGCCTTTCAGGAGAAAGATAAGGATAGGGTCCCGCCATTCTTTTTGAAAAAGGAAGAAAGATTTAAGTCCATGAAAGCAATGAATGGTTCTATATTTGTGTTTTTTTCTGTAACATTTGGAACTGTGTAAACATCTTGTGGTTAATAAATTAGCTTTTAGACGCCTATCCAAACGCCTTCGCTGTCACCGGTGCCATGTGTTTTTTCTCATTTGGCTAAATTATATCACTTAATTATAGGGATTTAAATTTAATCATTCATCTTTTAATCACTTAAGAGACAAAATACGTAACCATTGAGGGCAGGGAAGAGACGGTAGTTCCATTGATTGTTCATGCAAAGTACTATCACACAACATATAGTTTTTGTTCTGATACCATTTCGTATCGTTATCGGAGCCATTCCGTGCATTATTTCAATATCTACCAATACTTTTAATATATTATAATATGGTCACCATAAACCTAACAAATATTTAAGAATTCCAAATTTTGTCCAAATATTTCTTTTCCTACATGTGAAAAACAAAGTAACTGGTGGGGATTATATATGCATAATTCCTTTCAGTACACACAACAGGCAAGATACGGACCACGGAAATCATCTTAGCTGCATTTCATTCGCCCCACTTGAGTAGCAATAGAATCAGTACAACGACCATATCTCAAACATTTCGATTAAGAGCCGTTTACAGAAGCTGCCACTAAGCCTCTGTTGTCTGAAACAACTTCTCAACTTCCGTTTCCTTCTTCCAGTTCAGCCTGGAATTAAATATGTAACTCATCAAACTTATTTGTTTACTTGATCATCCAGTTGATAAATATGGGTATCTATATAGGAAACTAGGAAATCCCAAAGCAACTGAGTACGACAACGATTATAACCCCAAAAAATCCCATAATAAAGTAACGCTTCAATCTCTTTTTCAATTTAGTGCAAAAGTATCTGGGAGTCGGTCATGAATCAACAAGAAGACTTGAGCTCTGATTACCTTACTAGTACGAAAAATATATCAAAGTTAAGCTATACAAATAGGGGTTAACTTCCTCAACTAAAATCACGATCAATTTGTTATCACTTAGAATGCATCTTTCTATGGGAGCAGAAGGTTTAGGGAAAACCGTAACGAACAGCAATGGGGACATATCTTAGTAAGAACCGAAAGCTATTTCAACAATGGAGTAGAAAAGCATGTTTCATTCCCCAGACCATCCAGCCTTTGGTGCAAAAACAAGCTCCAATACTGAAACATAACAAATGAAACTGGGAATTGAATACCATTCTCCAACCTCAATTTTATCCCAAAATCAGTCAGGACAAAATTGATATTGAATTAAGCAAGCACAATAACTTCAAAAATTGTTATTGAATTAAGCAAGAGAGATAATCAAAATAATAGTACTTAATTAATAATTAATGAACGATACCAAAATCCCTTTAAGGTCAGCCAGTGAAGCCTCTAGCCGCTAACGGCAATCGGGGATCATCATCCTAGATTCAGCCAGAACATTTTCCTGTCCAAGCAGGTAAGAATTTATATAATAGAAATGGACTTATTTTCTAAAAGAAGAAAGCTTTCCTGTTGTTTGTATAAATTCATCATAGAACATTCCCCATTGTTGGACTGTTTTCACAAAATCTGCATTGGTATAAAAAAATGACTGATCCAAACTTACACTTGGGGATCAATCTTTTTAGCTAAGCTATTTTTTTAAAAAAGAAGAAGTCTAAATCTTTCTTCATTAACCAAACAAATTTTATACCAAACAAACATTTTGCCACTAAACAAATAGACACAAGGTGAAATAACCCAACTAATGAAAAATAAAATGAGTTATAAAAAAATGGTGTAATAATACCTGTTGCTTGAGGTCGTAAGGATCAGCTCCTTTCTCTTTCATGTCATCTGTTTTTGCAGCTTCTCGATCAACCTCTTTCTCATAAGAGTGAAGCTCTTTGACAATTCGTTTGCAACTTGATGTCTTGATTTTCAGATTTCTAACTGTTGCCATGGCCAGACCTGTAAAAAAAAGATCATATTCCTCAGGTTCAATAAATAGTATACTAATTAACCAGCAGCCCACATTTGTATTATCATTTTCCTTGCGGAATTCAAACAGATTTTTTGTGATTTTCCGGGGAAAATCATTTGAGGAAGCGGGAAATTGTAATTAATTAGTTTAAAGTTTGTAGAGCTGGGTTTGAGATAAATGAAGAGAAACATACCTTTGGAAGTGAGACGGATCTGAATGCGAGGGGACTGAGGATTTAGGAGGTGAAATGAAGCTTCAAAATTTAAAACAAGCCTCCCACCCACCCCAACCCAACAACCCCAAAAAGGGGAAAAAAAGGAAAAAGAAATAATACTTTGGAAAAACTGCACTGTTAGTCACCAATCTATTGTGCTTTCCTATTTTGATCACTAAACAATTGTTTTGGCAAAATCATCACTTTTGTTTCGGGTGACCAAAATGAAATTAAAACATAACATTAGGTATGATTTTGAAATAAAAATTAATTAAGTGAACAAAAATGAAAAAAATTTGATAATTTAGATACTAAACATGTGATTTATCCTTAATTTTATTCGGATAATATAGCCTCAAAATCATTTTCATTTATGCTATCTGATTTTTAAGTATTGAAGTTATAAGGGCTCTAACATGTGTTATATTTGCATTACCATCACTCTACGTAGCGCAAACAACATGAATCATACTAATGGAACTGTCCAATCAATTCATATCATTATAAATTTCATAAATTCTCTATGGTGGCGTTTGATTCGCTGGATTGTTTCTTAGAGAATTGGAATGAAGGAATTGAAATCTGTAGGAATTAGAATCTGAAAGCTGTTTGGTTGGCAGGAAATTGAATTGGAATCCAATTTCATATTCTGTTTGGTTCGCAGACATATCAGATGAATTTGATTTCAGTAATGTAAAATGACAGAATTGTCCTTATTGTTTTTTTGCTTAATTTTAATTTGTTTTATAACTTACATGTAGCAATATATTATAAAAATTTTAAAAATATATTAAATTTTCATTTTATTGATTGATTATTCATTTCAATAAATTATAAAAATCATACTAATAAACATCATAAGTTAAAATCATCCCAATTAGGGATGGTCATGGGTCGGGTTTTTGGTCCACCCGACCCGACCCGAGAACAAGGGAACCTCCACCTGAGACCCAACCCAACTAAAATAAAGTTTCTCCAGACCCGACCCGAATATATGAATTAGAAACCCGACCCGAAATAATAAAAAAATATTTTTATTCAATAAAAATAGTGACTTAATTGAAAAAAAATTATATATAGAGGGGTATTATTGTAATTATTCCTAAATATATAAGGTAAAATTATTTTTTTTTCAGGTTGGGTCGGGTATTTTTCACCCTAAACCCGAACCCGACCCGAATATCACACTTAAAAAACCCGACTCGACCCGAATATCAAACTTAGAAAACCCGACCCGACCCAAACCCGAAATTTAAAAAAAATCTGACTCGATCCTGAATTTTTTTAAAAAAATCTGACCTGAATATCAAAAGATTGATGAGGGTAGTATGGTCAAATTTCACATTCCCTCCTCCAAAGGATTTTAATTCTATCATTTTATAGATGTTATTTACTTTCTCTCCCTTGATGGAATTAGATTTCAATTCTCCCTTTGAAAACTTGAACCAAACATGAGAAAGTGGTGGAATTAGATTCCAATTCCCCCTAATTCCAAGGGAATCCAGCGAACCAAACGCCACCTAGGGATTTTGTTATGAACCTTAGGTGGCGTTTGGTTCGCTAGAATGTTTATGAGGGAATTGGAATCTGTGAATGAATTGGAATCTGTGAATGAATTGGAATCTGTCAGGAATTGGAATCTAATTTCATATTCTGTTTGGTTGGCAGGAAATGGAATTGGAATCCAATTCCATATTTTGTTTGGTTCGCAGACATGTCAGATGAATTTGATTTCAATAATGTAAAATGACATAATTGCCCTTCTTGTTTTTTTGCTTTATTTTAGTTTGTTTTAACACTTACATGTAGTAATATATTATAAAAATTAAAAAAATATTACATTTTCATTTTATTGATTGATTATTCATTTCAATAAATTATAAAAATCATGCTAATAAACATCATAAGTTACGCAATCAAAATATGTTAATAAGTTACCAAAAGATATAGCAATATTTCGATACATTCCAATCGGAGTATGTTAATTAGTTACCAAAAACTATTTTTATTCAATATATAAATTAGAAACCCGACCCGACATGACATGAAATAATAAAAAAAATTATTCAATAAAAACATTGACTTAATTGAAAAAATTATATATAGAGGGGTATTATTGTAATATTCTTAAATATATAAGGTAAAATTATATATTTTTTTCAGGTCGGGTCCGATTTTTTCACCCTAAACCCAACCCGACCCGAATATCACACTTAAAAAAACCTGACCCGACTCGACCTGAATATCACACTTAAAAAACCCGACCCGACCCGAACAAAATAAAGTTTCACCCGACCCGAATATATGAATTAGAAATCCGACCCGAAATAATAAAAAAATTATTTTTATTCAATAAAAACAGTGACTTAATTGAAAAAAAATTATATATAGAGGGGTATTATTGTAATTATTCCTAAATATATAAGGTAAAATTATATATATTTTCGGGTCGGGTATTTTTCACCCTAAACCCGAACTCGACCCAACCCGAATATCACACTTAAAAAAACCGACCCGACCCGACCAAAATAAAATTAGAAACCCGTCCCGACCCGAAATAATAAAAAATATTTTTATTCAATATATGAATAAGTTACCAAAAGATTGATGAGGGTAGTATGTTCAAATTTCAATTCCCCCCAACTAGGGAATTGAATTCCATCCATTCTTGGATGGAATTCACTTTCCCTCGTTTGATGGAAAGTTGAAGCCATGAGGAATTCCAATTCCCTTGGAAAACTTGAACCAAACATGGGAAAGTGGTAGAATTAGATTCCAATTCCCACTAATTCCAAGGGATTCATGCCAACCAAACGCCACCTTAGAGAATTCAAGAAAGAAATTAGGGATTTAGAGAAATTTAGAAGAATAGATTTAAGAGAAAATATGATATTTCATTAAAATTGCCAGAATAGAATGTTTCTATTACATATTATCCTTATATTCTTCAGTACAATTCTAATAAACTTATTCTGTATAGCTGGCATTCATAACTAATTGTGGCTCACGTGTTGGGCTCCTCCTCATCAAATCAAAATTGGTGGGTCACTTCTTGTTGGGCCACTCTTCCTCATTTCCAGCCCATCCTTTGTTGGTATCACTACGCGGGTCCTCTGCTCCAAATAGCCATTCGGTTCTTCTGCTCCAAGTAATATTTCATTTCCCCCAAATTTGCCACGATCAATCCCTAGCTTCTCAACAGAAATCCCTAACAATTTCCCTTTTTTCTTCACACACATAACATTTCCCTCCCCTTCACCTGATCCTTGTCCTCAAGGATCAAAATCTGGAAACTGGAATTTCAACACAGCATAATCCTCCCAAGTGGCGTTTTCTTCTCCCAAATTCGACCACTGGATCAGTAGTTGTGTGATTGCCTTGTTCTGTCTCTTCATTATCCTTTTGTTAAGCACGATGGCCGGATAAACCTTCATCTACCCATCCTCACTAAGTTCAGGAGGATTCTTAGAGGTAATTGTTCCTTCACCC